CGGGTGGGTGAAAGACCCGAGCTAACATGGGGTTAGCTTGTTAAATTACAATAAAGCCTCGTGCAGTTTGCATCAAGCTCTTGAATCTGCCTGGTGATTGGGGTGACCGAGAATGTGGCCTGGGACCCCGGATACTTGAGTTTTCGGGGGTCTAACAATATGCATGTCAGTGTATCACCATGCATGCGTTTCCCTCAGAGGCAAGTATGGTGTTGGATCCAAGATGGTGTTGGATCCCCTGGACTGGAGTTACAGAGGGTTGTGAGCCACCTTGAGGGTGCTGGAAGTTGAAGCCTGGTTCTCTGCGAGAGCAACCAGTGCATTTAATAACAGACGAGCCACCTCTCCAAGTCCCCACCTCTTCCTTCCTTCCTTCCTTCCTTCCTTCCTTCCTCCTCCTCCTCCTCCTCCTCCTCCTCTCTTCACCAGTTGAAGAGTTATTTTTGTGTCCCCAGTAAGGCATCTTATTTTTTTTAAGATTTTATTATGTATACAACATTCTGCTTCCATGTCTATCTGCACACCAGAAGAGGTCACCAGATTTTATAACAGATGGTTGTGAGCCACTATGTGGTTGCTGGGAACTGAACTCAGAACCTCTGGAAGATCAGCCGGTGCTCTTAACCTCTGAGCCATCTCTTCAGCCCCCCAGTAGGCATCTTTTTGATGGCTTTATGATAGCCACCCTGTAACCTTTTGTGCTCAGTACTGAACAGGGTTTGGACTTCCAGTCCTAAGCAGTCGGCATTGATGTTGAGTTCCTATTCTCTCTCTACTTTATATTTTCCATGTTATTTTAAAGTTGCTTTAAATTTGCACTCAGCAAAATGCACTTTTTGTGTTCAGTTCTATGACTCCCCCCCCCCCATTTTCAGGGGATTATAATATAATCACATTTCTCCATTCCCTTTCCTGTCTCCAAACTCTCCCATATACCCCTCCTTGTTCTTTTTCAACATCATGGCCTCTTTTTTCATTACTTGCTGTTACATGCATGTTCGCGTGCATAACCCTAGCTATAACCTGCTCAGTCTGTATAATGTTATTCCCATGTATGTTTTCAGGGCTGATCATTTGGTACTGGGTAACCAGTTGCTGTGCTCTTCCCTGGAGATGACTCTCTCTCCCACTCCAGCATTCTTAGGGGCCTGTAGTTCTTTGTGTAGGGTTGAAGCCTCATGGGCTTTCCCCAGTCCTCTTTGGCACTATTAGTGTTGTCTTTATTCAGTTCATTGGTAGATAGTCATGTTGGTGAGATTTTATGGGTGTAGCTTCTGACATTACTAGGAGACACAATCCCACAGCAAACTCTCCACTCCTCTGGCTCTGACTGTACTGTGTCTTGTCATGTGTGTCATTCCCTGTTGCGTCCCATCCCCCGCTGTCTAAAATGTTCCTTGAACTTTAGGTGTGAGAATGTCTTATAGTTGTATCCATTAAGCCTGGGCTCCACAACTGCATTTTTTTTTTTAAGATTTTATTTATTTATTTATTTATTTATTATGTATATAACATTATTCTGCTTCCATGTATATCTGCACACCCGAAGAGGGCATCAGATCTCATTATGGATGGTTGTGAGCCACCATGTGGTTGCTGGGAATTGAACTCAGGACCTCTGGAAGAACAACTGGTGCTGTTAACCTCTGAGCCATCTCTCCAGCCCCACAACTGCATTTTAATTGGTTATGGTTTTCTGTAATGATCTCCATCTGTTGCAAAGAGAAGTTTCATTGATAAGGGAGGAAGTGTTGTTCTTTTGCTTAAGGTACGCACAAGTATGTGGAACAGGAAACCAGTCACATATAGATGAAAACAGGAACCATGAGACTCAACAAACCCATGTGGAATTTATTGGAGGAAGGGGTGAGGGGACCAAGGGGAGGGGGGCAGAAGCGGGGAGAGAGAGAGAGAGAAAGAGAGAGAGATAGAGAGAGAGAAAGAAGAGGGGGTGAAGGGAGAGAGGTGCTCACTTAAAAAAAGCTTGCACATGCATACTGAGTCCTTACACAGCCCATAATTCGTGAAGTAGCCATGACGTGGCCATGAAAAATAGGGCCCTTTAAGCTGCCTAAGTATCTGCCTGAATGCTGGTATTTGTGTCCCACCCATTGTCAGGGGTGCCGTCAGCATAATGCTGATTCCAACAGGAAGACTACAGTAATCTGTGGGTATAAGGACAAATATTTAAAATACAATTGGGGGTTGTGCTGGTCTAGTAAAGCAGTAGCTGTAGGTTCTCCTCCAAGATCCATGACCTGACTAACACTGGGTAGTTGATTGTGTTTTCAGTACCAGGCATGGCTCCTCTCTTGTTGAGTGGGTCTTAAGTCCAGTTAGAGAGCTGTTGGTTTTCACTAAGGTATGAATGCCACTACGGCACCCGTAGGGTTACCATGCCATGCTGGTCATTGCTGTGGTTCATAGGCATCATAGCTAAGTAGGGCTGTTGGTTGCTTCTCTTCTTTTCAAGCTTGCATGATATACTTCTGATAGTCCTCAGGGAGGAGGGATTCAGGTTCCAGGTCATAAGCCTCTGAAGTACATGGTGTCTTCATCAAATAGAGACTTATCTTTCACCTCTGGGACTCACCCTCCCCTCCTTTTTGAGACAGGGTCTCATGAAGCCTAGGCTAACCTCAAACTTGTTATATAGCCAAGGATGGCCTTAAACTTCCGATCAACCTGCCCCACCTCCCAAGTGCTGGGGTTACAGATGTGCACCCACACACCAGGCTTCTTTGAGAACAGTTTTAAGAAGGGTGTCCTAACAGTAATACATCTCCGCCTAGATCTGTGTGCAGCTAGCATAAGAGCTGTGTGGCTGCTCTGTTTTCTACTTTACTACTCTGACTGGAATACTATTACTAAAATACTTAGGTATAAACTTTCTTAAATGTTATTGTATTATTGTCATCATCAATGTGTGCAGGTATGTGGGCACACATGTGCCATTACATGGGTGTGACAGTCAGAGGACAGCTTTATGGAGTTGGGCTCTCCGCTTCTATCTGCTTCCCCAAGGGTTTGTGGGGGACTGAACTGAGGTTGTCATATTTGCTTTATTCACTGAGCCATCTTCTCACCAGATATTTATCTTTATTTTTGAAACAGGGTCTCAACAGTACTCTGTTGCTCAGGGTAGCTGAGGGCTCACTGTGTAGTCCAAGCTAGCCTTGGACTTTCCAGTCCTCCTGTCTCAGCTTCCAGAGTACTGGTATTATAGGCTTGAACCACCATACCCGGCCAAAATCCTAAAATATTTCCTGTTTGGAACTTTTACACAAGTTTGCCAATTCCTTTTTTCCTTTTGGTCTTTTCATGGTTTCTAAAGATGTTACAATGACAGTATAGTATCATTTTGCACACATGTGTTTCTAATGGGATGGGTGTCTCTGAGCATAGATCCTAGTCTTAAGGTGTTGCTGTTTTGCCATTTTCAAAGATATGACCAAATAAAGAAGCTGAGCTGGCTTCTACTCTGTCTAAGAGCACATGTCTCAACTTGTTGCCCCACAGCCTCCACAGTTAACAACTTGACACTTGCCAATCTGATAAAGGAAACACAGTACTCATTGTAGTCTGAATATGCTGTTCTCTGATTAAATGTAAGCATTAGCATTTTAAGTCTAAACAGCTTTTATTTAATTAATTAGATAACAAACAAACAAATACATTTTGGAAACAGGTCCCAGACTAACCTGAAATTCACTATGGAGCCCTCACTGACATCCAACTGGACCTGGTGTCTGATCCTACTTCCAAAATATTGAGACTACAAGCATGAGCCACCACCCCAGATTATTTTATTTTATTAATTTATCTTTGTTGGTTTGGAGATCGAATCCAGGGTCACCAGGATGCATAGGGACGCACTACTCCATCGTTGAGCTATCTTTTAAATTCCTCCTGAGCGATTTTTCCCCTGTCCAGTCTACTCAAGAAGCCTAGCTTGGCCTCTGGCTGAGAGCTGGCGGCCGGATGCAGGGCGTGGCTCGTAGGGGAGGCTGAGGCGCTAGACCCCCACTTCAGCCCTCCCTCTTCGCTCTGTGGTCTCGGAGCTCCGCCCAGAGCCCGCCTGGAGCTGGCCTGGGCGGAGCACGTGGGGGAGTGGGCGGAGCCGAGAGCCTGATTTATTCCCGTGCGAGAGGAGCGGACGCAGGAACCCGCGGGTCTCAGCATCTGTGCTTGTGTTCTTACCCGCGTCCCGCAGCATGCCGCTCTCCCGTGCGCTGGCCGTGCTATGCGGCGTGTTGCTTTGCGCCTCCGGCCTTTTCGCCGTGTCCGGTGAGTTCCCCGCGCCTCCCTTTGGGCCTCGCCCCTCTTCTGCTGGCCGCTCGGAAGTTCTCAGCGGCGCCCTCCCTCCACCCCTACTGTTGACAAACTTGAGCAAAGCCTGCGGGACTCTGTGGGAGAGGCGGACGTGCTCAGACTCTGCGTACTTTGCGCTGGGACCTTGGGACAGTGATAGTGGCTTTGGGACTGGGAGGTGACCCTGGACACCCGGTGACAGCCCTGCCTGCCCCAGGGATGTGACTTACACATAACAAAGGAATCCGCTGCGTTGTGCCTCTTTTTACCGCGTCTGTAGAATGAGGCCACCGAACTGTGTTTGCTCTCCAGTCCTTCCATTTGGGAGAGCCTAGGACTCTTGTATGGAAACTTATCCAACCAACGTTCCCCGAAACTCTTTCCCCAACCCTCCTGGCTAGAGAATCCAATGAACTTTCGCGCCCCACTTGTTCGTGTTTGATCAGATAAAAGGAGAAAGGACCCAGGAACCGGTGCGGAGAGACTGGGTTGTAGGTAGGGCTTGGTCAGGAACTTAGAAAAGGGCTTCCTCCCACTCCCACTGGCCTTGGCTGTCTGCTTAATCTTCCCTAGACCTCCTCCCCCGCTCTGAGGTCCCCGGTAGACATCTGGGCCTCTTGCAGGATGCTGCTGGGGAGTTCATCTAAAGAAAGTTGTGCCCACGTGGGGGTGGGGTGAGCTCAGGGGCTCTTCAAGCAGCCCCTCCATCGTTTTCTCATACAAACAGAACTGGCCGAGGCAGGAGAGACCACAGCTGGACCCAGCTCTGTTGTCTAGTACAGGATCTGACCTCGGGGGTGGAGCTGAAGGCACTGAGTGCCTCAAGCTTCCACGAGCTGGGAACTCCCGGTCCTACCTCTCAGCTGGAGGATGCTTGGATCTCCTCTGACCCTTTCCAGCCCTCCTTCCCATCCTCCCCACAACCTGCGCCCTGTCCAAATATCCTAGAGTACACTTCCCAGAGCAGAACCCTGATATCCCATAGGATTTGTAGAGGCACTAGGGTCTCCTGGTCTCACATGCAGGTGACCAGTCTCAGCCCGGACAGTTACCGCACTGGCCGCCTTCCACTTTGTTTTCTTCTCTGAACCCCTGGTTTGATCCCACGTGCAGCTGTAAGGAAGGCTGGAAGAAAGGCCTTTGTTGGGACTGGGTGCCTAGGCCTTGGCCATTTTGGAGCTTCCACGTGAAGCTGTGACTGTGCCCTTCCAGGTCAGAGGGGATTAACCTGCTATTTAAAGCCGGTGACTAATAGTTCTGCTGCAGCGCCTTTGGATCCCCAGGCCCTTGCTGAGGTGGAGCTATGTGGGCTGGTGCTCGTTAATGGTGTTGCCTGCCTCCAGCTGGGGAGCCCAAGCTCCCTTGGGCCTTGGATGGGTGACTGTGGGGAGAAGACATCTCTTAGGTATGATTCTAGTGCCAGGTTTGGGGTCCAGTCTAGTAGGATGCTAAGGTCCTGCTAAGGACCCTCTTAAGTACAGCAGACCTGGGGGCTGTTCAGTGGTTGGTGCCAGTGTCAGGGGACCCAGGACAGGTGGAAGTAAGGTGAGCTTCTGAGGCAGGATGCTCCCAGTCCCTTCCTGGATGTGGAGATGGGGAGGGTTTACCTGCTGCTTGAAGAACTGCTTATAGTCCTTCAGATTACAGGCCAGGTGAGCTCAGCCCCAGCCCACCCCACCCCTCCTCCTGTGTTCTCCATCCTGGTGGACAGTGTACATCTGTCACCTACGGCTCTCCAAAAACTCTGGTGTCCCTTCTAGCCTTCCCCCGACTTGTCAGTCCATGCTCCATGGGGTCTGTCAGATCCCCTAGCTTCTGTTCCCTTTGCTCTACTGTGCTTTCTCACCATTCAACCTGTGGGCTTCGTCTGCTGAGGCCAGACTACCTACTTACTATTCAGGGGCCTGTCAGCCTTCTTGTGGTGTTTTCAGCCTTCCTCCTTTTGAACTTGGATCTGTCTTTAGAGGTTGTGTGTGGGGTGGCAGACAGAGACAGACAGACAGAGAAGAGGAGAGAGTCAGAGACAGACAGACTTGTTAGCCAATTTTGGGGAGGCTTAAGGAAGTTTAAAAAGCTGTCTGCTGATGGCAGCGTACAGTCTAAACAAACCTGTCGCTCTTATCTTAACCCATGAGCCCGGCCTAAGTCTAGGCACATCTGAAATGACATGCCATGATCTCAGTGTATCTGCTTCTCTCTAGAATATTAGTTTCTCATTTGACAGCTCATCATCCTTCCCATTCATTCTGTCTTTAAAAAAATGTTTACATGGCCAGGCATTGGTGGCGCACGCCTTTAATCCCAGCACTCGGGAGGCAGAGGCAGAAGGACCTCTGTGAGTTGGAGACCAACCTGGTCTACAGAGTGAGTGCCAGGATAGGCTCCAAAGCTACACAGAGAAACCCTGTCTTGAAAACCAAAAAAAAAAAAAAAAAAGTTTACATTATTGTCCTAGTCTGTGTGTGAGCCCGAGTGTATTGTGTACCACTTGCATGCAGGAGCCCTTAGCTCTCGGAAGATGACATCAGTCCCCTGAAACACAAGTTATAGGTGATCGTAAGCCACCTGTAGGTGTTGGGAACCGAACCAGGGTTTTCTGCCAGAGCAGTAAGTGCTTTTAATCTCTCAGCCATCTCTCTAGCTCCCCGATTTAGTTTTTAAGATTTATTTTAAAAATAATGTACAGCTGTCCCTGTGTAGGTATGTGCATGTGAGTACAGGTGTCTGAGAAGGCTGCAGGTGTTGGATCCCCTGGAGCTGGAGTTAGAGGCAGATGTGAGCTACGTGTTGTGGGTGCTTGGATCTAAACCCCAGTTCTCCAGAAAATCAGCAATTAGCCTGAGCTATTCCTCTAGCCCGTGTTTTCCTTTTTTGGTAGTGCTGGGGATTGAACCCAGGGCTTTTCACATGCTGGTCCCCGGCTTCTTGAGGCTATCTCAGGAGTCCAGTGTGTACATGTGGTAGCTGAACTCCCAAGTGTTTACCAAGTGATCGTGTTTGGACTGTTGTTGTTGCAGGTGACTTCTGTGACTCCAGCTTGTGCCAGAATGGTGGGACCTGCCTGATAAGCCAAGACAATGATGTCTACTGCCTCTGTCCCGAGGGCTTCACAGGCCTTGTGTGCAGTGAGACTGAGAAAGGTACCTGCTCCCAGTGGCCTGCCTCCCCTGCCTCTTCCCAAGTGGGTAGCCCTTGTTCCAGTAGAAACTCCCAGCTACTTGGAAACACCGGGGCTGCCAGTATTTGAGCAAATTCATCTTCTTGGCAACTATCTTAGGTCCAGGATGATTGGGGTAGGGAAGAAAAGGGACTGATTTGGATAAATCAGATGAGGCTGGTCACATGCTGCTCTTTGGGCTGTCCCCAGCCCTTTTCTGACCACCTGTCCATCTCATCTACCTCCTCGATTCCAGGACCCTGCTCCCCAAACCCTTGCTACAATGATGGTAAATGCCAAGTGACTGAGAACACACAGCGAGGAGATATCTTCACTCAGTACATCTGCCAGTGCTCTCTGGGCTACTCGGGCACCCACTGTGAGATCAGTGAGTACCAGGGGTCTGTAGCTGGGCATAGGCACTTGTGGTGAGGCTTCCTGTGTGGAGGCTGAGGAATGGGCAGAATGGCAGTGAGGATCTTGTTGTCCCATACCAAGCTTACGGTCTGGCTTTATCTCCTGGGACTTCAGGTCAGGGTTGGTGTCACTGTAGGGGAATTAGAGTGTGGTGACCCTGAGGCCATGGGAATGCCACTTCCCAAGTCCCTGAGTCAGAGACATATACAGTGTCAGAGTTAAATCTCGGGACTTACTTGCCAGTGAAAAGAAACAGACATGCTCTTTATCTTGGATCCCAGAAGCTCAGTGAATCAGGTTTGGGCCCTGTAGTCTTCTCACAGGGGTCAGGGAAGAGGGGGAGGTCTAGATAGGCTGGGTTTTCATGTGCTGTAAGAAGGCTAGAGGCCAGACATAGGGGGAGGAGATGACCCTGTCTGACCTGTTTGGCCGTCCCCTGGGCCCCAGAGTGGCCTGGGTGAGTGCCAGTTAACATCGCTGGCAGTAGTTCTCCATGCTGCCCCCAACTCTGCCCCAAGCATACCAGGGCCTTTCTTACCATCTCTGTCACATGGGAAGGGCTGTGTTCAGGCATGGGGAGGGAGGGATGGGTGGAGTGTGTGTGTGTGTGTGGTGTCTGTGTGTGTAGTGGGGGTTGTTTCCCCGCTATCCAGGTCTGGCAGTGGACATCCTGTGGGGGAGGGGGCAGGTGGCTTCTTGCCCTCCTTCAGGCTCTGAAGTTTGCTGACCTACAGAAGGCCAGCTATGTGGGGGCCCCAGGATGGGGGGAATGGCTATCCAGGTCTGGCAGTGGACATCCTGTGGGGGAGGGGGCAGGTGGCTTCTTGCCCTCCTTCAGGCTCTGAAGTTTGCTGACCTACAGAAGGCCAGCTATGTGGGGGCCCCAGGATGGGGGGAATGTGGGCAGAGTGCCTGGGATGCCCCCGACTTAGGAGGAGACAGAGCAAAGACCTGGTCTTGAAGACTGAACTAAAGCCAGATGAGTTTGAGATCCATAGGGGGGAGAATGGGGGAGCTCTGGGTTGCTAAGGCAGATAGAGGCCTGGGTGGAGCCAGGTAAGCCTACTAATTACTGGGTGGGAGCCGAGCTAACCATGGTGTACCTGTGTGGGAATTAGGCACGGAGCCTTCTCTGGGCTGCCAGGTCTAGAGTTGGCTCTAGGCCTGGATGGTGGCACCTAGAGCAGAGAGAAGGTACGTGGTGCCCACATAGGCTGCAGGGGTGAGGGGCACAGAGAGACCTCACACTCCCTTGTTTATTGTTTCTGGTGCTGCACCTTTTGGTTTCTTGGGTGTGGATAACGGTGGGTGTGAGGCCCATCAGCTGGCTGAATATTGTTTCTGGTGCTGCACCTTTGGGTTTCTTGGGTGTGGATAACGGTGGGTGTGAGGCCCATCAGCTGGCTGACCTAGCTGGACACCTAGGGTGTCCAGCCCCATTTGTTACCTTACCTTCCTTCTCTGTGAGATTGGTAGAACCTTGCTGGAGTTCTGTAGGGTTGTCCCTGGGTTCCCCTGGCAGCAGAAGCCTGGGCACCCACCATGGGTATCCAGAGGGATGGAAAGGCCCTCTTGCCAGTAGGCTTGATCACTGTCCCTAGTTTGTGGTATCATGTCAGTGGTGATGCAGAGGTGATGTGGCAGTGGCTGGGGGACACATTCACAGATGGGTGGGCGGAAGTGCAAAGGATATAGAAGAAAGCAGAGTGGTGTTCATCCTCTCCCCAGAAAACTGCTGTGGGGAGATTCTAGGAAGTACCACATAGAGTCAGGTGTGACGCCGAAAGCCTATGATTGGTGCTGTGGCAGGAGAAATCACAAATCTAAGGCCAGCGTGGGCAGCTGAGAGACACCCTGTCTCAAAACAATCAGGACTAGGGATGTCGCTCAGTAGTAGAGCCCTTGCCTAGCAAGTTCAGGTTTAATCTCTAGCACCACACACACTGAGAAGATGAAGACAAGACGTCTTCAAAAGGTGTGGAGTACCTACCTTTGCTGTTTGCTACTGTCTAAGGCACCTCCTCTCCCAAAGCCACATATCCTGGGCAAGCCATAGCTGAGGTGCTGAAGAAGAAGTTATCCGGGGCTTCGTTCCCACCAGTGAATGAGACCATCTACTACAACCTGGAAGGAGACTACCTGTCCACCACAGCTGTCCCCATCCCGGTCCCCAACCCTGGTCTTTCCAACAGTCTAGCCTCCAGTGAGTCATCTCTGCCGATCCCTTCTCTCCTTGCCTCCTGGGCCATCTACTCTTGCACTTGGTGTTGGTGTCCCTCGGTGTTACTTGCTCTGAGTGAGGGTCTGAGGTTCTCTCTATCTCTAGGTCCTCATCAGAGGTGACACTTTGTTTCCCCCCTTGTCCTGTGGTCACAGCTGGGCTCTGGAATGTTGGTTCAGGTACCTGATGGTCGCTCTGTCCCTACAGGTTGTACCTCAACACTGGGCATGGAAGGGGGCGCCATTGCTAACTCACAGATTTCCGCCTCATCTGTGTACGTGGGTTTCCTGGGCGTTCAGCGCTGGGGCCCAGAACTGGCTCGTCTGCACAGCTCAGGGCTGGTCAATGCATGGACAGCCAGTGATTATGACAGCAAGCCCTGGATCCAGGTAGGAAGAAGATCCAGGGCAGAGTGATTGGGAAGCTGAGAAGTGAATGCAGCTGTGTTGGGGGCTCAGAACCTGATCCGTGCAGGATGATAGGTGACCATGAGTGAAGTGTCTGTGTATGGAGGGTTAGCCTTGGGCTTGGAGCAGGTCCTTGGACCGTGGGCAGAGGATGAGGAGAGATATTCTTTGGTGGAGGGGCTTGGGTACCCACAGGCCTCTGGGGGGTCTTGACACTCATGGGCTTTGTAGAGACAGGCTCCAGAACCTCAGAGGAGAAAGCCAGTTCCTTGGATAAGGAACTCACGAGCTAGCCAGTTGGATTTGAATGGGAAGAGCTGGATGATGAGGGGACTGCCTTTCTCACCCAGGTGAACCTCCTTCGGAAGATGCGGGTGTCAGGTGTGATTACGCAGGGTGCCAGCCGCGCAGGGAGAGCAGAATACCTGAAGACCTTCAAGGTGGCTTATAGCCTAGACGGACTCAAGTTCAAGTTTATCCAGAATGCAAGTGGATCTGGAGACAAGGTGGGCCTAAAGAGGGGCTACTGAAGTCAGCACCCCTAAGAAGAGTCTAGCACTGACTGAGAAGGAGCAAGAGCAATCTGAGTGATAGGGCTGAGGTCAATCTTCAAGTGCCCCTTGGTACCTAGAAATGGACAGATTGTATTCATGTTCTCTGGTTACAAAGGTATCACCTGATAGTAGGGCCATGACGTGGTAAGCTGGGCTTCATTCTGAACTTTTCAGGGCTACTGTATACAGTTGTGAAGATAAAATTACCAAGTATACAGATACCGTACAGGTCTCTATTTCTGTCTGTCAGAAAATCATTACCATAAAGTCTTTCGAGAATGTACACAGAAGCCCTCTAGTTAGCCCTGTGGGAACAGGGGTTTATGCCTGGGACCTGTGATGACCAAGAGAGGAGTGACAAGAACATGTCTTCACGGTGGTGGAGTGGCAAAGCAAGGGCCGCAGGCTAGGTCCGTGAGGACTCTGTCCTTCCAGACTTACGCTGGCCTCTCAGGCCTGAAGAGGAACAGGTCCAGGAGTGGGCTGGCAAACCTGCTCCTTCTCCAGTCCTACCCCTTCCCTTCTAGGTGTTTTGGGGGAACATGGACAACAACGGCCTGAAGGTTAACATGTTCAGTCCCTCTCTGGAGGCACAGTACATCAGGCTGTACCCTGTTTCGTGCTACCGAGCCTGCACCCTTCGCTTCGAGCTTCTGGGCTGTGA